AATAACACCGATTTAGAGTGTCTACCCTCACATAGTCAACTTGGTCTCAATAACCAGTTTTTTTCCCCAATTAATTAGCATATAGTATATTATTAGTTTCCAGAGGTTCAACAACTTTACTTTCAAATATTTTATTTATTTATTTGTCAGAGAGAGAGAGAGAGAACACAAACAGGGGAAGCGGCAGGCAGAGGGAGAAGCAGACAACCCACTGAGCAAGGAGCCCGATGTGGGCTCGATCCCAGGACCCTGGGATCATGACCTGAGCCGAAGGCAGACACTTAACCGACTGAGCCACCCAGGTGTCCCAACAAATTTACTTTTAACATGAAAAATTTTTTATCATGAAACCCATGATAAAGTTATTCCATAGTGGTTTTAAGACTGATAATATCTCTGAGTAGTGAATTTGATTATGTTTTAAGACTTCTGAATGTGAAATTACTTAAAGCAAAGTGACATAAAATATACTTTGCTTCATGTGGTTCATCCATTCTGGAGAAGTGATGAAAAATCAGTTTGGGTTGTTTTCTTTATTTTAACATAAGGTATTTCAAATTTGGATACAAAATCAGAACATGCCACCTGTAGCTTTCTGAAGTTGTAACCTGATGCCGTGTTTCCTTCAGGTAGTTTTATAAAGAAAACATTATTGATTCAATTGAGAGTCACTGTGTTCCTCCCTTCTATCATATTTCCCTCCTCCCTGAGAGTAACCGTAATCATAAATTCAGTGTGGACTATATCCATGCATTTTTTTTATACTTTTACCACCAAAAATCGGTTTTTCAAATATTCTACACTATGCTGTCCAGTATGGTGTAGCCACTGTTCACATGTGGCCTTTAAGCAGTGGAACGTGGCTAGCCTAAATTAAGGTGTGTCATAAGTAAAAAATACACACCGGATTTCAAAGAATTAGTACAAAAAATGGAAGCTATCTCATTAGTAATTTTTATACTGATTATATATTGATATGATAAATTTTGAATATGTTGAGTTAAAGAAAATATATTAACATTAATCTCAGTGGTTTTGATTTGGGGGGTTTTGTTTGTTTTTGTTTTTCCTTTTTAAATGATAGTTACTGGAAAGTGTTAAATTACATATATGGCTCTCGTTAAAATCCCATTGGACAGTACTGATCTAGAGGGCCTTACAATGGAAGCTCCTCATAAAGGGCATATCATCTAATTGACATTTTATGTTAACCTGGTTTTTCATTTACTCAGACTTGCCTAACACTAAGAATGTGTGCATTTGTACTCACTTTCTGTATCTTTAAATATTTGCCTGCTAACATGTTCCAGGAGTGATATCTAAAATGCTTTACTCAGCTTACACAGCAGGAATAGCATGAGTCAGATTTCTCCTCTCATTACCAGTCAGCAGATGTTGAAATCCTGGGTTGTTTTAGCTGAGGGGACCTTCTAGAACTGCCCTCCCGCCGCCTTCTGTTTACCACAGGAAGCTGAGGCCAGAGAGGTGGGGGCCTCTGTAATGCTGAGGGCTAGAACACAGGTCTCTTCAGACTTCCAAATTGTCTTCCTGGAAATGCAATCTTTCTTTTTCATTACAGCAATTTTAGATACTCTTGTATTCTTAGTCAGTAGTTTAGTGATTCCTGACTAAGAGCCCGGAGTGTAAGTTTTCAGTTGCAGTACTAGAATATTCTGGCCATTCCTAGAGTTGTATCGGCTGTGTCTAGCTGAGCAGCGATTTGATTGGAGCATGGAGGAAGCTCAGAGACAGGGAACCAGGCAGATAAACTGTCACTAAGAATTAGATCAGCATTTCCCAAAGTATGTTCTTGCAAGAACTCATGGAAAAAAGTTATCGATTCCAATGAGATTGGAAAACTCTGCAAATCACCATATAAACCCAAACATAAGGCAAAACTGAATATAGAACTATCTCTTATTTTCCCATAAAGAAGTTTCAAAAAAAAAAAACCTCTTTGACTGACATTAATATACAAACTTTGAATGACATACACATATTTTAATCACATTCTATAAAATTTTAATACATTGATTTTGAAATAAGACTTTTCCCCCACTCATTAAGTTTTAAATCTCTTCATGCTTTTTTGACATCAGTGTCAAATGTTTCCCATAGTACATCTTCTCTTCTCTTCCATTAAGTTTGGATACAACATTTTTGTATTCAGGTATGATGCTGTCAGTGGAAATTTCACTTAGTCACAAATACCAATTCACAAAAGACAACGGCAGGATTTGAACACTTCTCTTGCAATTATAAGTAATGATCCCCACAATCGTAAACACTAGGTATGCTCATTCAGAACGTCCTTTAAAAGGTTTGTTAACTATAACATTCAGAACTAGAAATGATGAGGTCAACCTTCCTAGAATAATTAATACATCTGTGTTCAGAAAACTTTTTTAAACAATTCTGTCAGCTAACATGAGTTGGGTTGTTTCCGACTAATCTCTTCCCCCTGCAGTACTCAGTTGTTCAAAATAAAGTGTTGGAGGAAGTACCCTATTGCCTGGTAGGTAAAATAAGGACTCAGCTCTAAGGCAATTCCCTCACTTTTCAGGGGTGATCTGAGAGCTAATAAGTTTGTGTATATTCCAGAATACATAGTGTATCCTCTTCTTGGAGGCTCACAGACTTTAGCATGTCACAAAGATTTTTAGGAGTAAAACAGGAATGAAACACATTTAACTTGATATAACCCAGCAATTTCCAAAATCATTCAACTAGACATCCTTTGGAAAAGATAGTGCCTGTTCCAACATGATAAATTGACCAACATTTTCATTTACTTCTGACCTAGATTATATTCACAAATGTTCCTAATGGTGAGAGTGGACTAGAAATAAAAATTAAGGGGAAAATTTAAATAATGAGTAACATGAAACCATCATCTTTGTAAACATCCAGCAAGTAGTTATTCAGTGCCTTAGAAAAGGTAGGAAGAAGAAAAGCCAGATAGCTGATGGTTGGCAGAGCAATGTCCTATCTATCTTCAAATAACTTGTTGTCCATGACTGCAAGGAGCTTATGCTCTGGTTCAGGGGAAGACAGACATAAAAGGCTATACATGAATGTGTCGTGGGCATTGTGCTGTGTTAGAAGTTCATACAGTCCAGAGCACTGGGGGTAAGAGATGAAAGAGAGGTCAGTCAGTTTGCCATAGGAAGTCAGACAAGGCTTCATGAGGCACATGGGGCAGGGCTCAGCCTTGGAAATTTGCACCAAAAAAACATTAATATACGATATGAAAGCAAATAGAGGCTACAGTGGAACTCCATTATTACATAGATTCCAACTGTCCAGGTACTATCTGGTCCTCTCCACCCCAAGTCCACCCCCACCCCACCCCTTGCCCAAATATATTCTGTGATAAGATTGTTAGTAATACACATAAGGGGGGGGGGGCGGGAGGAAAGTACCTGCCATTTAACTTAGGTTATCACATCTAATTTTCACAACAGACCTTTGGGCAGGCTTATCATGCCCATTTTATAGATAAGAAACTAGAATTCTGACCACGCATCCCTTATGCAGAGTCATCACACAGAGAAAAGCTGCAAAGCTGTGATTGGAGCCTGGGCCTGCCAACGTTTAAACTTCTGTGCTTTGCACTACACCATCATGTGACCAGTGTAAGAGAGGTGGTCACCTTCCACCTCCATTTCCAAAATTATTAATGTGTTTCCATGCTACTCTTTAATGACTACTTAGACTGGACATTGCATTTCTGAGCCTGATGGTTTTCCTCGATAGGAGGGAGTTAGCCTGGATGGGCTTTAGGATTTTTCCTGCCTTTCATATTCTATAATTCTATTTTGCTTTTATAATTACAAAAAGAAAGATGCTAGTGCCATCTATGTCTTACTAATTCATCCCTGTCGTATAAAAATATTTAAAAGAACTTTAATTTGGGGGCCTGTTTAACCCAAAGAAGAGGAAACTTTCAGAGGGTAGAAGGAGCGGAGAGATGTAACATATAAAATATATGTATATGAAATATAAAATATCCTCAGCTATTTTAAAGGCTGCTACCACATGAAAGAGAACTTGGGCTTAATCTCTTTGACCCTGAGAAATGGAACTGGGACCAGTAGAAGAATTCCAGGACCTCTGCTCTTTCTCATGAGCCGAACCTGCCGGCCACATAGGACCCTGCCGTGGCTTCGCTTAAGCGAGGTGACTAGACCAGAAAGCTTTTAAGATCATTTCCAATTCTAAGATTCTTTGATGCTGTAAGAGGCTGGCCTTTGAGGGCCCCTGGGTGGCTCAGTTGGTTAAGCGTCTGCCTTCGGCTTGGGTCATGATCCCAGGGTCCTGGGATCGAGACCTGCCTGCATCAGGCTCCTTGCTCCGTGGGGAGCCTGCTTCTCCCTCTCCCTCTACTGCTCCCCCCGCTTGTGCTCTCTCTCTGTCTGTCAAATAAATGAATGAAATCTTTTTTTTTAAGAGTTTATTTTATTTGACAGAGACACAGCGAGAGAGGAAAACACAAGCAGGGGGAGTGGGAGAGGGAGAAGCAGGCTTCCCGCGGAGAAGGGAGCCTGATGTGGGGCTCGATCCCAGGACCCCGGGACCATGACCTGAGCCGAAGGCAGATGCTTAATGACTGAGCCACCCAGGTGCCCAAAAAAATAAAATCTTAAAAAAAAAAAATCTGCTTAAATAGGCTGATCTCTCATATTAGCCCTGAGAAGGAGGGAGACTAGGAGGAGAGTCTTTTCTTAACAAGGTTAAAAACCATGGTTCAAAGGGATCAACCAGTTACTAGCACTTCAGTCATCAATGAATAAGTAAGAAAAGATATGGGGATGCGGGAGAAGAAGGGAACACAAGATACCAAAATTCCATCTGGGAGACCCCACGGGCCCCACCTACTGTGAAGACTGGCCCTTACCCCCTAACTTCCCTGGAGTCCCCATGTTCAACAAGAGCCAGTGAGGTGTGCTGGGGGTAACCTCGGGAACACTTAAGAACCTATCTCTCTCCTTCTCTTTCAGATGTTCACCTCCACAATATTTGCTGTGATTGGATTCTTGGGTGCTGGATACTCATTTGTCACCTCGGCCATCTCAATCAACAAGGGTCCTAAGTGTCTCATGGACAATAGCACGTGGGGCTACCCCTTCCAGGAAGGGTAAGGTACATCCTGCAATGCCCCATGTCCCCACAAGGGGCATGGGCAGGTAAATGGCCCAAGGGGGATCCTGCACAGGTCCTGTCACCTTCATTTGAAAAGTCTCAGGCTCACTGCTTCTCTGAGGCAGAACTGGAGTGTGGGTGGAGTGAAGTTGCCCAAGATCTCACTTCTAATTGTGCTTTTGACAGACACCAGGAGAAATAACAAGAGAACGTGTTTCAGCTGGCCTGGGAGAAGGAGATTTGCTGTCCCATTACTGACACCCAAACATTCATGAGCAGCAACACAAGGCAACTAAAAATATTAGTAAACAGAAAGTGGTGGCGTCCGTTAAAAATCTTAGGATAGAAAACGAGAATTACTACTCAGTAACAGGACTCAAAGGCTTTCGCTAATACCCCAAATGCTCTATGACTAACAATCTTTATTTCTTTTTTAGTTTGATAAGCTTTTTAAAATTTTATTATGTTATGTTAATCTTTTAAGGTGAGCATTTATGGAAAATGATACTGAAGATACTGTAGATTCTTCATGAGAGTTAATGTCAATAGAAATCATTAAAATAACACTTCGTGTTTTCATGGAACTTTGTAGTTGATAAAGAACTTCTTTCCCCCACAAATTTATAATTTAATCCCCACAGCAACCCCAAGAGGTCGTTACTCCCTGCCAAGGCAAGCTTACTAATTTCACCTTGCTCAAACTTACATGGCTAGGTGAGGGCAGAGGCAGGGCTCAAACTCCTGTCTTCTGACTTTGAGGTCTAGTCTTTCTACATTACATATCCTTCGGCCCACAGACTGCACCGTCCAGTGCAGCAGCCAGTAGTTGGATGTACCTGTTCAAACTTAAATTCATTTACATGAAATAAAGTTAGAAATTCCGCAATCGCACTAGCCAAAATTTCGAGTACCAGCAGCTACATGTGTCTAGTAGCAACTGCATTGACACTCATATATACAGGACATTTCCGTCGTCACGGACGGTCTATGAGGCAGTGCTGCACCAGCCTCCGACCTCCGGGAGGGCTTGGGACAATTTCTGTTTTGTTCATCGCTACCTGGCACAGTGACTGACATGCTGAGGTGGTCAGGAAACGCGGTTGTGGGGTCCTCCTACACGGGGAGGATGGGTCCATGCCTAAAGAAATCGGAACACCAATTTATGAACTCTATGTATTAATTTACAACGAGAGTCTAAAGAACCTCAAGAGCAGGCTTCCGATGGGGAGCTGGAGGGCGCTGGTTCTGTGACGATACGGGTCACAAGGGTTTCACATAAGAGAGCATCCCTACCATACTCTAGAGTTAAACAGTGGTGCAGACCTCTAGTGTCCTCATCACATGCAGGGATTCCCAAAGGTATTGATCATATTGTGGAAAAGCCCCCCTTTTCTTGCAGAGGACTGTTGGAAATGTCCAACGGCCATGGGGTTGGCCTGCATGAGCATAGAAATCAGACACCAGACTCATTTCTTGAGGTTCCTCCCCTGATAGCTCACGCTCTCCCTCCATAGGGGTATGTTTATGAAACTCCAGATTGTCTCCTTTCAAGACCCTCCTCTCCTCTTATCTCTATCCCCAGCCTCAGTGCCGTATTAAACATGCTTTTCTATTTATTGTTACGTGAATGCCGAACGTAAAATCAATTAAAATAAGTCTATGTCCAAAACAAAGGAGGGAGAAAGGAAACACAGCACTGGCCCTACAGCCCTACAGTACCACCCCAAGGCAGCACAATGGCCTTAGGCCCTCACACCCTCCGGAGGCACAGCCACTCCCTGCTTGGGAGGGAATGGGACGGATGCCCAAGGTTAGGAGAATGACAGCTGGTCTGTGGGCCACCGCAGGAAATGCCAGTGTGCGGGAAGGACAGGAAAGTACTTTTCAAAATCCTCTGTCCTTCTGGTGAAACGAGCTTTCATGCACATCCCTGCCATCTATTGCACGTTACTCTGTGATGGATGCTTTCCTGTATGTTACCGTGTCTTCTCCTCCCAACTGACCCGCTCATGAACTGGTATCAGATCACTGAGGTTTAATAGTAAAAATGGAGTAGAGTCGATGTGGCAGGCAAGCAGGGGCATTTCAGAATTCTCCACCCTCCTCTGTGCATGGCAGGGCTTTGATAATTACCTGAGAGGGGAGAAGTTTGCATACCACGAGGTCTGCATTGGGGCTTCAAACTATAATGTGATTAAATATCACTGGGTAGGGGTTTATTACAAAGCCATGGATACTACACTTTCCAGGTGATTTATAGGATATTTAGGAGTGATTTTGACTATCCACGGTTGGGTTTTTTATCCTCATGTCCTGACTTTGGAATTTAATCCCACAGAAGTTGCAAGTCCTCCCTCTGTACAAGGCTGGAAAGATGCCACAATTGGCACAGGAAGGGCTTTCGGGGGGGGGGGTGTCTAGGTGGAGCGTGTCACACTGCATTCTCTTTGCCACCTGGCAGGCTTTCTTCAGCATTCCATTGTCTCCCACATCCTGTGTCCTATCTTCTGGGGCAAGGACTCACATCCCTTTACGACCTTATCTCCCACGCCAGCTCCAAACCTTCCCTCGGCCTGCAGGGGCTCATCTTGAGTTTCTTATGACAATAACTGACCCTCTGTCACTTGATGTTTTTTGGTTAACAAAGTGCTTTCACCCACATGTTTCATTCGATCCTTACAAAAAGCCTGTGGGATTAACTCTTCTTCAGAGGGAAGATAGCTGAGCCCAGAGAGGACAAGAGGCTTGCCCGGAGACAGGCTGTTCCTTAATGACGGAAGCTCAGCTCCAATCTTTCTGAGTCCAAGTCACACTGTCTTTTCTAGAACACAAGTGACATTGATTTGCACTATCTGCTTTTTGTAGAGATTATAGAGTCCATGTAGCATAGCTCAGGGGCCTCTGCCTCCGTGGCTACTTCTTATCCAGAAGATTCCAGGGCATGAGCCCTGCAGCAGATGCTATTATAGCTGCAGACCTGACACACATGCACAGTTACCAGTGAGGAGCACGGAGTAATCACTTGCATGTTGGGGCCGCAACGAAAGGACCCAGGACAGCTGTCA